ATGCATATGTGTAATAACAAGGATTCGAAACATTTCTTCTTCATTATATCTGCTTGTTATCATCGTAATTTTAATGTTTCTTCTATTAACAAGGAAAGAGAAACAATAAATAAAATGATGAATGAAATGTGTTAAAACGCATGGATGGATTAATGAGATTCCCACTGTCCCTATCTACTACTATCTAGTAAAACCATAGCCATGGAAATGGCCTTGGCAAACATAACGGGAAAAGGAAACTGTTGAGCTTCACTCTAACCCGACTCTTAAAGAGTTATAAGAGTTGTAGCATAAGTCAGAGGTTAACTTGTATATAAACTATAATAGTGAAATACCACTACTTTTGTCGATTCTTTACTTATTCAGCAAAACGAGAATTTAAACATTAAATATGTTTCGAAATTTTTGATATAAGTTAAATCGCTCGGTGATTTAACGACTTGCATCGATGACAGTGTCATAGATGTTTTATTTTTTGATTGTTTTTTTCTCTGAACATTTTAAACAAAATATTAACACCGAAGAATTGATGGATGGTAAGTAAGAAAGAAGTAGTCTTCTCAGAAATCTATAAATTGTTACAATAAGAAATATGTAATATCTTGGATTCTAAATGATCTTGAGATTATTTTCTTTTTGAAATTTTTTTTGCCGATATTTTGATTTGGGATCATTCGTTGTGTCTTTCGTATTTAAGAATTTTCCTCACATTTGTTCTAAGTATATGCAACACATCGTAATAATTTGCTACGTTACAAAAGAATTCATTTTGTAAATACATTCCACTATGGATGGTATCATGACAAGAACTCTAAAAATATGGCAACAGAACGAAGCAATAAGTGTTTTAATGATTTCCTACTATTATAAAACGCTGATAAATTTATGATCTTATATATGTGCATCTTTCTCGAAAATTTAATTCACCTTTCTACCCATTATTCTTGAATTACTTAAAGCATACTGCTATTTATATGAATTGTAATTATAACTGCTTTCACACTTTCTTAGCCAACATTAACATAATTACTCGGAATATAGTATTTCTTCTACGGATAAAGCAACTGCAGTGAATATGCTGACCATTCGAGATAAAAGTGATACCAGAAATTTTCTAGTACAATTCATTTTCAGTTAGGTCACGATAATTCGCACTATTTTATTTAGTACTCGTTATCCGAGGTATCTGTCTCTCCCTCTTCTTCCTCCACCTTGTCCCGCAGGTTCCTTAATATGCGTTCCCAATGTCATATGAAGTGAAAATTATTCAACTTTTATAACGTTAGGTAAACATTTTTATGTGAGCGGCTTCGACTTATTCCAGAACTGACTTCAAACAAGGTTAGACATTTAAGTCAATTCAACACAAGAAAACCATTAATATCGACATGAAACGAATCTCATCCGATCACATATTCTCTCTTCTGGACATATTATTACATCAAATTTTCCGTTGAAATGTTGAAATTTCTGCAGCATATGTTTTATCCTACGGTTGCAATTCTCTCCCTTTCATTCTTCCTTATTGAGATTGCTTTTGTCGATATTTTCATTTGTCTCATTCTGTTCTGCTTTCTGCACTTTGAAGCTTTTTCATCATATTTGTTCTTTTTTCTGTATTTATTTGGTAAATAATTTAAATATTTTATATATGCCAATGAATTTTTATAGTAAGCTAATGAGAAATTTTTGCAGCTAAAACGAACCAGTTGAATAAATAAAGAAATAAAAGCTTGCAAAAATCATATGATTGAAATAACTGACCAAGCAAAAGAGACTTGTAAATGAAATTAGTTGTTACACGATAGTCCTCAGTGTTTATTGCTACCCACGTAAATATCTAGCGGATGATTTTACTACTAAATCCTGATCCTTAGAAGTTCATTAGTCATGCGGCATTTGCAGAATATAGCATCTGAAGCCCAGAAAATTTGTTTGCGAAATCGCTCAAGATAGTCTTTATTGAACGTGGAGCATTATGAAGCACTCAACGGTACAAAATTGTTGCATATTTGAATATCGACTGATAATCAATAAACCAATCTCATTAATCAGAAAAGAGATATGGCTTGTTCATTTTCCAATACCAAAAACTACCATTGGTTGGACTGTATGTTTCCGTTCACAAAGTAAATATTTGAAACATCGAATTGCGGCACGCTGAGAATCTCCTTGACGATACAAAAATAGCACTACCATATTGAAGGAATTGAGTATCCACAAATATGCGCAACACATTATAATAATTCGCGACAGTACAGAAGAATCCATTACATAAATATATTCCAGTGCTGATGGTGCTACCACAAAAACTGTAAAAATAAGAATAATAGATCAAATAAACGAGAGCTGGAAATTATTCATAAAATTCATTGTCAGATATGAAAAAGCTTTAATCATAATCTTTCCCACTACTATTTGGTCAACGTGTCCAAAAAGTAACAAATCAAACATATATTCTAAAAATCGAATAGAAGTTTTACATCTCAGAATAAATTAGTCTTTAACAGAGCCCTTTATGGAAATCGGAGTGTAAAAACATACAAAATGTAAAACAACAGGATATCAGTGATGTGTGAGTGTATCGCTTTTGATTATCGAGGAAAGTTGACAAATCGCGGTTATGTGAATGCCTTGTAAGAAACTGTCTACCAAACTTCCTGAGAGTAATAATACAATTAAAACTTCATTCATTTCTAAATTTAACTTTGTTGTTGGTAAATGATCGGATTGCCTACGATTTGTGTACTGTCTCGTAGTTCCATTATTAAGCAGTTCATCAAATCCTTATCCGAAACTACGAAAAATTTATGTTGAATGGAACACATTGAATATTGCTTAAGAAAGAAAAGGATGTACATCGTTGCATGTGTCAATTACCCCCATTAATAAGTGATATAATTTTTAAGAATACAGATTTTTCAATTTTTCAAAATCATACCTTCTCAGGATGGCAACAACAATAACCATAACGATAATACTTAGCATTGAAGTAAGGGAAGTTAGATTTATTAATGTTTTAAAAAAGAGAGGTGAATAAGAGCTTTGCAGCCTGCAAAAATCATATTTTCGGTCATTTTAAAAGCAAAGAAACCATTTTATAATATTATGCACGTTCGACACAGATTTTTTTAGTTAAATGGCAAATGATACAGTTGACAACAAAATATCGATTTCTTTAAAAATATGAATTTCTTTATTGTCGTTACTTACGTGCAAAAATTAGATATGCGCCGTGGTGATTCAATTAAACTTGCAATGACTGTAGAAGTTATCTCAATGATAGCAATTATATATTGTGCGGCAATTAATGAATAACTTATTCGTGCGCTCTTCTTATAGTAATATATTGGAAATGCTACAACACAAAGCCTTTCTAAGCTGTGCATTAATAAGCTCCAACCATTCAGAAAAAATAATGTTAAAAGAAAGGTATGCACCTGAAATTTCATTCATTTGAGTATCACAGATTTAACTTGTTGTAGTACCATCCTAACCATAATTTTAGTTATCAAATAAATTTGATACTAATCAAAAATGACGAATGATTTGTGAGAATGTTTGTCGGAAAATAAACGAACATTCAGCACGCATTTGTAGTGATCGATAAGCTTTTCTCCATTAGCGGTATCGATTATTCGTTTTATTCCAGTTAATATCGCACAAATTCCGGTCAACCCATTGTTAAGGAAAACAATCGCAAGAACCAAATAGGGGCTTCTGAAACAGTTAAATTTTTACATATGTTTGTTATCTCTATTTTATTCTAAAACCTTTTTTGCCTCATTTACTAAAAATTTTTCGACAAAAATATTCAGTGCTCATTTTTACAATATCTTTATAAGACAAATCAGAAATCGGTTGACCTGAGTGCTTTACGCGTTATCACAAGTAGAAAAACGGGGATATTGATCGATGTAAGAAATATACCGATAACGATATAGCCATATGTATGCAAAATAATGCTTATAGCTCTTACTATTGCTTCTTTTTCATTTGCGTTCACATTTTTGATGCGTTCAGTTGCTGTTTCGTTAACAGCAAAACTCATTGGTATGGAAGGCAATAAATAGTCTTTAAAATAATTGACAGCATCAGCAAAACAATGCGTGTGAGCTCTTCTTTGAGGCAATATCTCCTGAACATTAATGATGACAGCTTAACATTTCTCTTAAGTTCTAACAAAAATAAGAT